ACTATATAGTGTCTGCAAATAACTATTTTTTTTCTTTAGTTATAATTGTTATTATTTTTTAAATAATTCTTTGTGAATCGAAGTGTTAAAATAATATAGAATTTTATTTTTCAAAACTAACAAACTCTTTTATGGGTCTAAGACATTTTATTAAATAATATTATATATATTATTTAATAACGGGTTTAATAAGTTATATAAATATCCTATAAATAATATAATTTTTATAATTAATTATTTATATTTTATACATAGAGATTGTCACATATATATTTATCAAATGCACACGTTTTTAAAACTGCTGTGCCAAACTGCCAAAACCACCAAACCGCCGCGGCGGCGCCACAGAGTTTATCACTAAACCGGTCCAGCGCTAAAACGTCCATGTCCGTTTCTTTCTAATACCATAAATAATATTATTATGAATATCTAACAATTGTTTTTTAATTTAAATAACGTGTAAATAGTGTATTAATGTTTTACATTTCAATATAAGTAATAAATTAATTTTTCTAAAATAAGTTGTGAATAAGTTTTAAACAAAACCGTATTTTATGCGCGCGCGCGCGCGCGCGTGTATGTGTATGCGTATAAACTTTAAGTGTGTAAAACAAATAAATCGTTACTAAATATCCAAAATATTTACAAATCCATTAGGGTATATTTCCGCATAACTTAATAAATATGTATGCGTTATGATAGTCGTAGCGTAATAAAATTAAAACTTATATATGGTTGGTTTCTGTATTACAATTTCAGTTATTACATTTAATAATAATGTAATGAAGCTATGCAAATGCACTGAAATGATTTCTTGATACAGAATGTAAATGGATTTGTTCAAACAGTATGGAATATAAAGCAAAATAAAGAAAGATAGAGACTGTAGGGAATCTCTTCAAGACTGATTGTTTTCGTAAAATTTATAAACCTTTTTTCTATTGAAATATTTACGCGAATGAGAGTTATTTTGATTTTAGACGAATATAACTAATTTATTGTTCGTAGTATAGGTATTGTCAAAAATATTATATTTTATATAAAAGCCGTCTTTAGACTTTCGGAGGTGATTTTAAGAGATAAAAAAATGATCTAAATTAAACTATTATTATCCTGATAAATTATTAAGAATCTACTTTGCATTTATTGTAGATATTTAACGTAAATATATACATGTGTAAAACATCATCACCACTATTTGACATTTAAATTTGGTATTTTATTTTATTTTGTTCTTCGGTTACATAAACGAATAAACCATCTACAATTTAAACTAATGCAGTGTTCTTCATGCGAGTATTTCCCACAATTATTTCGTTAATTGTCCGATTCATTTATACATGTAAAGTTAATCCAACATTTGAAACTATATTTACGGAACAAAATTAATGTTGAAAATTTTTATTTTGATATTTATTCTTGTTTTTAAACTCCTGTGAAATAAAAATTCATATTTATTCAGGTTGCTTTTATCTATATACACGGTCTATATTGAAAGAATTCGTTATATCAAATGAACAATGATTTATATAATTGATAAGTGTAAATGAACCTAATTATTTAAAGAATACTTATAGGCCTTCACTAGCTTGATTTAAAATAAGATACATTTACTGGTTAGATGTATACAACGTATAATAATTATACAATTATTCCTATAGTTTGTGTCGATGCCGTATATTTATGAGAAATTATACCACGGTTGCATTGACAAGATAACTATTTTTAGCAGTTTCTTTTCCAGATTCTCGTAAACCGTAGTCAAATTGTTTTTATTATTTTTTTAAAATTAGGATTTTCAAAATTAAACATATTTCAACTCTTTTAGTAATCGAATTCGAATAATTTTGTCTGTGTTAAAATATTAGTATAAGACGTTCAACTGCTGATAACAGATTTTTAACAAATTGGTTTTCGGACTAATAATTCATAGACAACAATATTATTCGTAGAGTAAAATTGTAACCAAAAAGTTTTCAATTATTTATACCTTTATTTTTTTATTAATTAGATCTTTTATTTTTTTTTTTATTTTTTAATTTTGAGCGAGGAGGCAATAGTCGGGTTCCTAGAATATGTCTTCGTAATTAGTCTATGTTTTTCAATAATAAATTCGCAGATAGAGAAGATATTTATCGTCTTATTTTTACCTTAATATTATTATTATTACGAGAGTTTTGTAATACCCAAGGCTGGGCAAGTTAATGATTTTTTTTAACTCAGTTAAGTTAAGTTAATTTGCACCAATAACAAAAAGTTAAAAGTAAATACACATTTTTTTAAACAACGCTAAATTTATTTTTTACAAATTCAAAACTAATTTATAGACTATAACTAAAGTGTTTATTATACTTTATAAAAATACAGTATTTCCATATAGTATATTGTATTTCATTGAAGTTTTCATTTTTAAAAAAATAAGGGTAGTGACTTATCTTATAATTTTATAAGTAATAAGTGATAAATAATAATTAATACCTAAAAGGCTAAAAATAATGAATTAATATTATTTATGTGTGTGCGTTTGTAATAGAGTATTATGAGTATTACTGATTGTAAAATAATCACAAAATATTTTATTAAATAGATAATTAAGTATTTAATACTTAGTAAAATACTAAAATATTAAAATTAGTTTAGTAGCTTAAATTTATATAATTTAATAATTATGTATTTATAGTTTATACCCATTATATACAAACTAACTTAAAACTATATAAGGAATGAAAATATAAGTTGTAATAATTGAATAATATTTTAACATATACATTTCTTCGTATAGTTATACTTTATTAATTTATTAATTTATAATGTAAAATCTTTTATTAGAAAATATTTTCTGATATATTTATAAATGTTCGTTTATACGTGTTCCTTTAGAGTACAGAGTGATCGGAAAAATATAAAACATTTAATTTTCAACAATTCACAGTAAATTATTTTTACATAAAAACTAAATAGACCGAAATGGTGAAATATAAAAAATTAAAAACAAAATAAATTAACTTAACTTATTTCTTAAAATGAAAAATTAATTCTTTAATTTCACGTTAGTTAAGAAATGAATTTAATAAGTTAATAGTTAAATTAACAAAAATCCAAAAGTAACTAGTTAATTCCCAGCCTTGGTAATATCAAGCTATATCGAGAAAAATGTACTATGATTATAATTATTTAAAATATTTTTATTTAAATAACTGTAGAACTATACTTAACATCATTGAGTTCTTATGTTATGAGTTATCTTTTTTATGTAAATACTGGGGTTAATAGTTTTACATTTATTTATCATTATACACATATTAATATATAAACACAACACCGTCGTGTATCATAACTGCCTATACAAGTCGCCGTTTGTTGAAATAAATAATACATTGTAATAAGTTAAATTGTCATGAAAATTATGTAGAAATTAAGAAAAAAAGAATAAAATCGAGAATAAATAAACAAATAAAATGGCAAAGCAAGTAAAAAAGTAAAGTTTACTTCATTTTTATCAGAATGATTCAAAATATTTATAAGAATGAAATTTTCATCAAAAGTAGCAATTGCTACAAATTCCGAACCCTACTAATAATATTACAAGTAAATTGTATAATAAATATTTTTATACGACTGCATCATTCAATGAATCAAACTGAAACGCTTAAAGTATAGTAAAAAAAAAAATATGATTTAATCAGAAACCTATAACATTTAAGTTATACCACTCATATTAATCACTTGTTCATAATACATAAATAATTTTACAATAATATTATTATATATATATTATTATATTATTATATATTATAAATATTCACATTTTTTAAATAAAAGATCAATTTTAGTATATTTGCATCAATATTTTAATATATAGTTAATGTATTTGATGTTCAACGTACAGTTTATACTATTAAATAATTTTAATTAATTTTAACATCTGAAACTGTTTAGCATTAATAAACCAAGAAATACTTAATAAGTTGTGTAACATACACTATAATATAAACTACAAAGGTAAAAAACCTTTAATTTTTTTTATATTCTTAAAAAGTCAAACTAATACCATAACCTTAAGTTTTATTACGAAACGCTTGAAATTTATAACATATACATTTAATACAAGTGTTATAACGTAATTCATATTTTTCATTTAATATATAGGTATTTTTATCTAAATCTAGTCATACTTCACTGGGTCATGTGTCTGACCGTACGATATTACATTATGTGGGTAGGGATACAGTTTTATTGCTTTTCGCACACGTATCCTATCAATAGTATTCATCATATGCACGCGTCCCTCATAAGAATCCGACCAGTTCGCAGCTTTATGATAATGTTTTGTATTGAGATTATTAATTTTGCTGACAGCTGTTTGCATCAGATATCGGTTATTTTGTATCTTTTCAAAGGTTTGAAGCGGGAGGAGCGTGTTATCGATCGCAGCAACAATGAAGGTCTATTATAATATTACTATAACGATAATACATAATACCTACCGTTATCATTCGTTGTAATCGCATTATATAAATTACGCCAAACTCGCGAACAGCAGATTTAAAATCATAGTCGCATAGTTCGAATTTCTATTTAACAAACTTGGCAATTCGTTGAAAACAATTCGTAAAAAATAAATATAATTTTCCTCATTGGAAAAACGTATTTAATGTAGAACGTTAATGATTGAATATGATAAGTGAAATAATAATTACCATATTTTAGAGATAGTAATAATAATAGTTTGTTAAAGTAGGTAGATACTGTACATCAGCTTGTTGCTTCTGATAATTTATTCTGTCGTATACTTCTGTAAGCTTCAAAATACTAATACTGTGATACAATTATAGTATTAATTCATTAATACAAAACGTTTTTTAATGGACATTTAATGGTTCCATAAAAATATTCCTTTAGAAAGAGTTTAGTTTAATTGAAGTTCCACTATATATGTAATTTTATGTATTGGAAAGCACTTCGATGGTAATATTAATGCGGTATTTCTTTATCTTAAGGTGATGAAATCCGTCGTGGCAGATCTTCGAGGAGAGACGATCCACGTCGGCACACATTATCTGGCGATCAACATCATAACTATCAACCAGCTCTGACAAGGTCTATGGATTTGGAGGTGAGTTGTAATAGCCGAACTTTCTCTATTTTCAACCCATTATTCCCACTGTCTTCCGATATAAATAATATATGTGTGGTGTGTGCGCTATAAGGATTTACCGGTTTTTATAAATATATGCCAGTTAGTTGGATGCACTAAGATATATAAAATTAAGCGGTTACCATTATGCTATTTTTTTTGCTTTAATAAAATATATTTGTTTTATTGACACCATTTATTTGCTTTGCTATATAGATGGGAACAAAAACGCAACGGAAAAAAGTAAGTTTTCGCCCTGAGTATATTTTACCCTACAATCCTTCAATAATAACAATCAAAGTATAACATAATTAAGCTTAATTGGCCACGTTTATAATGCTGTTCAATAACATACCATCCTGGCTACCACTTTGAATAAACAGTGACAACTGATACAAAATTGTATCATTAATATGATTTTTATTTTAAAATTTTAAGTTAATTTTTATTTTTATTTTATGATTGATTTCTTTAAATTTTATATTATTACTGAAAGCTTAAAATTTTAAATCAAATTTTAGTATAAAAATTAAAAAATTGTTCTCTTAAATTTAATTTTGGACTAAATAGATTTATGAATAAGACAATTATTAGCAACCACATTTTTCGAAGAAATACATGCGTCAATCATTATTTAGCTATTTGTATTTCACATAATTTTTTTTTTTTTTTTTATTATTATTTTCAGAGCTTTTTTTTTGTATTCGCTATAATCTATTTACGTTTTACATGACAAAAAAACTAGGTAGTCAAAATTATTCCAACGAAATTTTCACCCTATGTGACATCATTAAGTTTTTGGTTTGTTAATGGTACGGTTGTAATGATAAATTTAAATTAAATATTATTTTATATTATTCTGTGATATTTATTTTAAATATGCTTAGATAATAATCATTCTAATATTGTACCTATGCAATAACTTCACATTTTATTTTAAAACATTTTTTTCATCAATATCACGTAAAGTTTATTACAATATTAAATGTTGAACATTATTGTTTCATGTAAAGTAGTAATTTTATGATCCTAAAATCGAAAATAATATACAATAATACTACTAAAATAATTTTAGAAAAAAACATACACCGAAAAATTTAAAAAATAAATAAATTGGATTAATAGTTTAAATTCAACGACAATTTGTTTTTTTACAATATTTAATCAAAATAAATATTAAGTCAAATAAAACACGTTTATATGATATTTATAATTTTTCACAATATTCTTATTGTTTATAGTCTCCTTCGTCTAGAGGAGGATATCCACCAGCTACTGGCATGCTATTTGATGACGACCCAGGAATAATGTCTGAAGTGGAAACTAGTTCTACTGGGTTTCGAAGAGGGAACAAACAAAGGAGCTCATTACCAGTTGTCCGAACCCCGTCAAAAACTTTAGAACGCCCATTAGGTAAGTAAGGTCATTTAATGTTCACGATTTTGATACACCTCATGAAGAATTAAAAATAAACTCTAAATTTCCTCATCAAATTGTTAACAAAATTTTGAAAAAATATAATTGCTATTAACGGTTGTGGTGCAGGATTTCTTGTTTTTCTTAGCAGTTGACAGTCGAACATAGATTTTAATTTTAAATATTCATTGCTTATATCAAGAATTATCTATCGAGCATTAAAGTTCATTAGAAAAACCTTATTGTAAGAAAAGATAAATTTTAAAATTATTTATAAACATATTAGTCAACATTGTAGTAATATTATATTATTTGAAAAATTGTCTTTTGTGTTTTGAAAAAAGTCAACAGGTTTTTCTATTGTTATACTTAATTCATACTCTGTAAAATAATAAAACAATTGAATATATAGAGAGATTTAATTTATTAGTATATTTTTATCAAAAACATGTTAAAATTTCCGCTAGTTGATCAAATTAATACAATTATTAGGTAATGGATTATTAATTTTTTTCTGCAATACTTAGGAGTTTTATTAAGTATTATAATTCAGATGGTTATTGGGATTAACATTTTTTTACTGCTATATCTCATATAGTTTTATTTAGTAGTATAAATACGAAAACTAAATAGTATTTCATTGTTATTTTAAGTATAGAGTTAAAGAATCGTATTAAACTCTCATAAAATCTTATGAAGGTATAAAAATCATTTTTGTAAGTGTTTAAAATTTTCAATCATGAAACAATTTTTAACTATATAATAGTTTCTAAAAATAAATAAATTATAGCACATTGCTGGTATTTCGAATTTTTCAAGTTAGGCACCATTTTCCATCTTTTTAGAGAACATTAATAATTTTAAGTTTAAAATACGATTACAGAAGAAAAGCGACCTTTTCATTATTAACCTTTTTGATATGATCTGGGATATCGCTTGTGGTTAGATATGTCTGGTTTAAATTACGTTATGTTGCTTAAACAATATCTTTTGTAGTTAATAATTTGAATAGAATTAGATTATACTCGTAATTTTGGTCTGATGTGTTGGACGATGAAATATACGCACGTAAAATTGAATTATGTACTCATATGTCCTATTTTGAAAGTAGTTATAGTTGCCGATGAACAATATTCGCTGTAAAGATCACAAAAATTGTACATCAATTATGAACCAGACCATTATGATTTCGTTTTATGATCATCTTTTCTACATTGTATTTAATCATTTCCATTGTAGACATGATGTATAATTATAGTTATTTTCTATAGCATTTTGAATTTTGTCCGTTTCATAATTTTTATTATTTTTATTTTCTGCCGTATCGTAGCTTATCTATGATCAATACACATAATAATATATAACATAATACCCTTTTAAATGTATGCACAGTATCTATGTTTTCTTTTAACGTGATGGACACAGAACAAATTAATATACATTATGTCCAATGAATGATTAAAAATCAACAGTTTAAACCATTCAATCGTGATACCAGCATTCAATTAAATAATTAAATACTGATTTGATTTTTAATTTAAGAATTTATTAGCTTACTAAATCAATTTTAAGCTACTATTTGACATAAAGCAATTTATTAACTGCTAATGCGTTTTATCTGGATTTTTATAAAATGCTCACAAGAAGGTCATTGAATTGAGAAGTTTTGAACAAAATTCGAATTTTGTTTGACTTCCTATGTCAGAACAAAATCAAATGCCCTCGTTTTCAATTATAACTGAAAATAATCACTGTCCGTTTATAATTCATAACTCATACCTGTATTGTATAATGATTGTATAACAACATTTATATTAACCTAAAAACTGTGAGCTGTGGTAATTTATGTCTTGTAAGGTGACCCGATGTTGAATGATGAAATGGCTTTCCATAATATGATGACTCACTCACGGCAAAGTTTAGGTGAGACATAGTTTAATATGCATAATGTTTGGTAAAAATAAATGTCAAAAAAAAAAAAAAAACAATAATCACACATTTTAATGTTAGCTTTTGTTTATCAGGCACAAAAACGACTTTTTTTTTTAAATGTTTTATTTGTTTCGATCCTTTATAACGTCGTCTTATAGTTATTGCATGCGACAGAAAAGTTCGTTTTGTTTCTTACTATGTGTACTTTTTTTTACGTTCATACATATTCATCTATTATTTATGCTAAAAATCATTATATATCAACTTGAATGATTTAAACGCATAAATAATGTGAATACATGGTATGACAAAAATATGTAGTTATATATGATCACACGAGTGTTCAATAGTATTATGAATCACGAAAAAATGTGATAAAATACTTCTGCACATATAAAAAAATTATTTTTTTTTTTTTGTTTAGAGAACTTTCACTGTATAACTTTTGTGTATTGTAATATCCATAAATCCGATAAATTCGATGTGCACGTTTATCCTTTAATTTTTAATCTCAAAATTAGCCAAAGTTAAATAATTTTTTTACATTTTCTGTATAAAAATCTATCGGAGAATGTTTAATGACAGTGGCGCTGATCTATGTGTCTTATGATATTTTATAAAATTTATATCTGAGTATAACTGCAATAAATACTCAGTATACATAATTATAATTGTAATTTTAAAACAGTCTTATATTATAAATTCAAATTGCTATATTTTGTAGATCCTAGTTCCTATGTACTCTTGTCCATCAAGGGACCACCCACATAAATTAGGAATTACATTCGCAATTTCTACACATAAGGATCAGCACCACTGTTTAATGAACATAATTATATCTTAAAAATAATATGTTATTAAATTTTAATTATTTTATTCAACCAAGTTTTAATGAGTTTACTCAAAATCCTGCACGTAACAATTTTGTATATGTTTTCAAAGCAATTAAAGTGTTGTTTATTAAATAATTTAATACACAACTTTAATTTTATTGTATAGTACTCGTACTTCTGATTAAAAACTGTCATGTGATTAACCTTAACTTTATTTTAAATATAGTGATTTGAAATTAAAATATTGTTCAATTTTAAAAACAAATTTATCATTTCATTCAAACGTGGGTATAAAAATATATAATTATAAAGGGCACCGCACAATAGTGTTTAAATTTTAAAATAATAAATAATAATATAATACACTAATTCCATATTACAACGTTATTTTTTAGCACGATAAATATACGCTTATAAAAAGACTATGTATAATTTATAGTATAGTAAAATATAGTATAGTATATACTTTCATACATAAATGCAACATTTTATTATGAGAAATCATATAGTATTCTATAACACAAGTATTTATATAAAATGCTATTTATAATAATATATATATATGTTACCGGTAATATGGATAATCCAGTATTTTGCAAAATATCTAGGCATTATATAAAATGCCAAAAATCACTCGGCAATATACATAATACGAGCTTTGCCTAGGTATTATGTATAATGTCAATCGTGGAGTAGGCAATATAAAGAAAACAAACAAAATTGGGCATAGCCTATTACCAACTAATTTACTTATCGTTTATCATAAATGTGCGTTCACAATTTAACACAATAAAAATTAATATTCTTTTACTACTATAATAATAATTCTGAGATACAATATTGAACGTACTAATAATTTTATTACAATTACATTTTCTTATGTCATTTTGGTGTTGCAACTATGCATACGATTTATATAGTCAAATCTGTATATCAAACTACAACCTTTTTTTAAAAATTTGGCGACTAATAGTTTTTTATCTGATAAATACCAAATATAATAACCTAATAACCAAACTCGCTATACCACCGAACAATGAAGAAGCCCTCAATGAAAAGAACACCAGCAAAATTATTTTATTTCTAACCTAAATCAATTACATCAACAAACTCTAATATTGTAAAAACTATCTTTAGTCTCTAAGTTACAATACCTATAATTTGTTATTTATTCTAATTAATTAATTTTTCTTTTTTCATTTAATCTATCATTTGTATCTAAACTACTTTAGGCTAATAACCTACGATGTTGAAGCCTATTTCTAATTAAAAAAAAAAAATTATAAATAACTAGTACTTATTTTGTTTTCTTAGAATATTTACGATAAGGAATCGGGGTTCAACGAGCGATTGTTGTTTTTATACACAAGATTCATTCCATATAATATACTATATATATATACATTTTGTAGTGTATTATTATGGATAAGATATTAATTTATAATACTCCATTGATTGTCACCCGTGAGTTATACTTTTAACTAATAATATACAATAAAATAACCTAAAATAGTTTTATTTTGTACTTTTGCAGTCGCTACAGTCTACAACACTATTATGCTGATGATGTACTAAAATTTGAGAAATTATTATAAGTTACGGATAACATTCTGTTGTGAACCCGAAATTGAAAAAAAATAAATACCGATATCTGAAATCGAAAATGAAAAAAATTAATATCGATATTCGAAATTAAAATCGAAATTTTTTATTTTGATTTCAAGCACTAATTTAAATAATAGTTATAATATATTAATAGATAAAAATTAAATTGTGTCTGTAATATGAGTAATAATATATAATAATTATAAGAATCTTAATGTAATATAACATATAATAAAATGTTTTGTACTTTGCCTAAAAAAATATTGGTATTTTATAAAATACCTAGGTTATATATAAAATAATATTGAAAATCATATGTTTTATTTCCTTGCCTAAAATGGGTCGGCAATTTGCATAATGCCTTGGTATTTTGCAAAATACCTGAATTATCCATATTGCCGGTAACATATATATATTTTCACGTACTTTAAAGGTTAATCGTAGTAAAGTGTTAACGTATTATTAAACTTGGTTATTCAGCTATAATATTTTTTTATCGTTAAAATTGTGAAATCACATGATCGTGCTATATACAATATCCAAGAAATAGTCCATTGAAAGTACTTATAAAATGTTGGCTTGGTAATCCATTATGCCTAACTTATTTTTTTGGTAATTCTTTGAGTACCTGAATTAATTATTTATTATTTTATAATTCAAAATACTATTCAAAACTGTATTTAAATAACATTTTTTCTACACTTAAAATTATATAAAATAATGAAAAACATTTAAAAAATTAACTTTTTTTTTGCTTATGTGTGTACTTTAATATTATCATAGACAATAAAGAACATATTAATCTTACAAAAATCAGTATCTTATTTTTAATTTAATTTATTGATTTTAAACCAAATATTTAACATCGAGATAAAGGTTTTTACAATGGATTTGATATGTTCTATAGAGCACATCAAAATCTTCTATTGATGTCGAAACAAAAAAAAATATGACATTAAAAACTCATTCGGTGTCTATTAGTTTCTTTAAAATTAAGCAAAATTAATTTAAAATAATGTAAAAGATTAAATAAGTTTAATACTCCAATGATTTTATGAGTATCAATCATTATTTAAAAGCATTTTATTTACAAATAAAATATTAAACAAGTATATAAGTATCACAGTTTTCAGTATAATTATTAAATTTATTTTATTTTTTAAAACTATCAAAACACATAATATTATATGTCTATTAATTTAGTATTATTTTTTTCTATGCGTTTAATTTCGTTAAAAAATTAACGATTTTTTTGTATACATTCTATAAATATCAAGTTTATTTTCACTGATATGTTGTAGTGGATAGTTGAAAAAAAATCAGATTGCAATGAGATAACAATTAATTCCTATCATCCAACCTTTTCTTACTTGTTTTCAACATAGTAATATAGAAACAATTTTTTTCCTCATTTTATTTTATTTTTTCTTGATTTTGTTTTGAAACTGTAGATTTAAAACTTTTTTAAACATAAATAAATCTTGTAATTAAAAATATATGTTTACATAATTCCTCGAACGTGTGCATGCATAATAAACAATTCTAAATATCTTCAAGCTATTCATTGTTTTTTCTTTAAATTTTGTAAAATTGTTTTATTAATTTACTTTTTCTCTTTTTTTTTTTTTTTTTTTTTTTATGAGCATAGGTCTGGTATTTCTGCAATACCGTAGCGAAACAAAAAGAGCATTGTTACCAAATGAAATTACTTCTATTGACACGGTCAAGGCGCTGTTCGTTCGGTCTTTTCCTAAACAGCTCACTATGGAATACATGGACTCATCACTGGTGAAAATCTATATTCACGATTCATCGAAAGATATGTTCTACGAACTAGAAGACCTCAGGTATGGTTATTCATTATATTTAAATAAAAAAAAACAATCCCTAAGAAAATTATTAAGGTTATGGTTTATTAAAATTTAATTATTATAATTGTAAAGTTTATCGGGTTTAAAACTAAAAAAACTACTCTGCGCATTAAAGTTTGTTTCCGAGTGTGACCGAAATTCACTACTACGTATTATTGAACTCTAAGAGAAGATTCGTCCATTTAAATAATACTCCTTTTCACTTTTAATATCATTATTGCAGTCCTATCATTTCCTTTCTTTCTTTCTTAGTTTTATTTTTTATTAATTTCCGTTTTTAAAAGCATTCACTGTTATAAATATTTTATAAGCTTTTTAAAAATTTAAGTTGTAGTTTAAATACTTTACCCGAGAACGTTGTAATACACGTATTGTCGTGTATGAAAGAGTCATTTCATTTGTTGGACTTGGTTAACTTAATGGAAAATTGATTTAATTTAAAAAAAAAGTAAAATAATTTTATAAATTTTGGTTGAAATTGTTGAATTTCAACGTGGTAAATTTAGTGATATTTAAAATTTCTTTTAAATTAACTATTCAATTATGCCACGCTATCCTGCTAGTAGTAAGGGATGATGCCGGAGAAATTTTATCAAATATGAAGACTAGTAAATTATAAAATTATATATTTTATCATTATATTTAAAAATAATACATTCATTAATTTTCTACTAACGTCGATTTCAAACATTATTGTTAACATTATGCGGTTAATAATATTATTCGATATCACATGAAACGTCATTATAAATTTAGTTGCCGTTATTTATGAGAAAACTATGTGTATCGATTGTAAAATACAATATATTATATGACTACATATAATCATTGGTGAATTATAATACTCCAACAAAATTATTTTAGCTATGTGAACTACCTACATAAACGGCTGAATGTCACATTTCGAGCGAATGTAATATGAAGTCTACTGCCGGACATTTTAACTTAAACCAGAACCGTTTAATAGGTTCTATTAATGATTGTTAATGATATTTTTTTTCGCATGAATATAACAACTAGATAAATAAATAGTTAATAACTAACAGATAATGAATTAAATAACTAAATAACTAATAAGAAAAATAATGTTAAAAAAAAAAATCCTCGTAAAAATACTTTATCCGTACATTTACTTTACTATTTAATTTACTTTCGTTTAATATGATTATAGTTATCATAATTAGATAAAATATTGTACTATCCTTTCGATCATCAACCCAAAAATACATTCTCTGACAAATTATTATTATTAAAAAAATTTTAAAACTTAATTATAAAATGTATTGTTATTAATATCTTATGGATGGAAACCATCATGTTAGGGTTTTTATCTGATATTCATATTGTCAATCAAATATGTTTTTACAATTGAGTAAAAGCTAAAAATTATTTATATTTTAAAAAATAAATGTTGCAAATATATTTCTTTGGATTTTAGAGTCTTGTGGGTTTGATAATTTGCTGATTGTGCAGTGATGTTGTGGTAATCTTTTTTTTATACACTTGAGGGAATCTAAAAATGTTATACTATGATTCGTATTAGGAATTTCTAACATTTCTAGTTTTCTTGTAAAATCATGAAAATATGTTGTAAAGAAATTAGTTTTACTTTCACTTATTTAGTTCTGTCCAAAATATTCCAATAAATAAATTCATATTTTCTGTAAATTAAACAATTTCTTTTTGTATTAGACTGTACATAATATTGTACTCTTTCATATTTTCATTTGTTCATATATCTCTTTAAGTTTATTTAGTTAAATAATTCAAACGTTTGTGAATGAGAAACCTTAATAAATTAGTTACTTTTTCTTTTTATGTTGTTAAATAACTATGAATAAAAGGGTTTTAATGTTAAAGTTACCAAACTTTTAGTTTTTCTCGCATTTTCTTAAAACTAATACTATAATGTTTAATTATATAAAAGTAAGAATATTGTTTTGTTTTAATACTTAATTCATAACTATTGATAATTGAACAATATATCTATATAAGTGTTTAATTAATATTTCATCAAATTACAAATATCTATGCAATATGCTATACCTACATGCAAGTATTTTAATTATTTGATGAGGTTAACGTTAAAGCTCTTTTAGATAAAATATTAGGGTAGATGTGTTAGGACTAGTGTTAGAAAACGTTAGATATTTGAAGGATTAGTAGCTTAATAATTAATTTATTTATTTATTTATTTTGTAATGTTGGTGCATTAATATTATTTTGTTTTATAACCTCCAGAGTTAATATTACATGAATTCATTTACATAATGATGATATATTTTATTTATGAAGAATTTAATGAGCTTTGTAGGCCAAAAGTGACTCGTTTATTATTTATGGATATTTATAATTTGAAAATGTTTATAGTAAACATCTTTTCGTTTCTCTCAACACAAAAACGCATCCTCCCTCTTTCACTTACATACTCGTTATATATTTGGCTCATTCTTCACTGCTATTGAAACCTGGTGTCAAAATTAGTCTAAATCGGTTATTGTACCCATTAAGAAATATTTGCAGAAAGGATTGCGTATCAGAAATTTTATAAATCCTATAAGACTATCATAGCCGATACAAGAGTGACTCAATCCTTTAAGCTTTTCCTAAGGAAAATTATAATCGTTCAACAGATAGATGAAGGTGATCGACTGCGTGAAGTTTACAGGACAAAGTATTAGTTGCTCATTACAGCCAAAATGTTGATTTATCCTTTAAACAAATTCCAAAAATCGGTAAACGCAGTTGTTGCCATGATATGTTTGCAAACACCCAGAAAGGAGATATCTACAGTGAGATTATTTGGGTAGACAGATTCAACTATAATACCGATACTTCACGTTTGCGCATTTTACTCCTTTCATCCTCCTCCTCCATTCCAATTTTAAATACAGGTACTCAAGTTTACCAATTATTTGGGTTGTGTTTGTTTATCATGTATAGAAAATGCTGTTTGATTATGTGCAATTTTGTATTTATACTCATCATTTCCTTTGCAGGTCACATCTCAACGATATCCGGGATAGATCAGTGTTGCGACTTTTCGAATCAGCCGAGGGCGGTCCTCTTCCCCAAGGTCTCACAATAGCCGCACCCACGTGGGATCAAGATCAATCGTACTTCAGCGAACCAGAATTTGATTCCGAGTACCAACATCAGCATATACACAAAACCAAGGTTAGTGAAACACTAGCTATGTGGCATTTAAAGTTAAATACATCAGCTATTTTATTTGTTTTATTTATTTTCGTAACATAACTCACCACTTATATTATATTTGATAAAATCGAATTAATGAATAAGCCTCAGAAAATGTATTTATTTCCTCTTTAGTGCTAGGTATTTGCTTATAGAATACTCTTCCATTGCGTCTAAAGCATTAGTTTGAAATCTTAAGAATTCTCACGAAAATGCATATAAAACAAAAATCCCTATAGTGTCGAAAATAATAATGCATAAATAAACTACCGTGTAAGATTTATTCAAACTTAATATTATTTTTTTTTAAAAATTGAAAGTGCAGTGTATTCTTTACTGCAATGGCTTATGCAGATAATATTTAACGTCTTTCCGAAATGTTATTGGATATTATCATAAATTATTGCTATAAAATTAATAATAGATTTCATATAGATTTCAGTCATCGCATATAAGTTAATGATTTCTATACAATTTTTCGAGCTCAATATAGTTGATTTGTATACTAATATAGAAAACTAGTAATGTAGACAGGCTTAAAAATACGTATAGTATTATTTAATTTGTATTTTTTCAAATAATTTTTAAATTACATTTTAGATTTTTTTTTTTCTATTCAGTTGAAAACTTTTTTTGTTATTTTTATGTCAAATAATTAATATAACATTTAATAAATATAAGGTTAGGTTATTAATGTGGTTTGATTTACAATATGAGATTAAACATCAGTATTGTAGAACCTTGACAAAAATATTGAATTATGTTCAAATGAAACAATTTCAATGAAACAAGCTTATATTAAATTCATAATACTTGTTATATTATTTGTTATATTTGTTTATATTATTACATTTATGTATATGTACACGATAACATTATCACAGGTATACAATATGTTTTGACTCACTCAACTATATATAAAGTCGACGAAAAAAAAAGTTTACATTATAATTTATTCCTTACAGAAATAAAACAAATAATATATAACAACGTTGAAGTTTATTCTAAATCACTTAAAATAAATCTTAAATATTAAATTTATACTATACACACAACGGTACAGTATTATCGTTACAACAGCTTACGAATACACATTATAATACTAGATTAAAACGGGTTTTTTTTTGTCTGATGTCATACCCGGATTTCATTTGGTCATCGGATCGTTATAATTGCAGAATACTGCTAAATCGGATGGAATCACCATATAGTCTCTCCCGTAGTCTAATTTTTCACCGATCAGTGTAACAATTATGGAGATTTATGGGATTTAATTTACATAATATGGCCATGTCGCGTTCGATCCATAGAAGAATACATATCTGAGGTCAATCGACGACTATGTAATTTATCATGGCACGTATGGAATATCCGTCACTGAGAGTACGTACAACAATTAATTCGTTATAATCGCTGGTCGAATTGATCAACAATTAGTTAAGATATACACCGGCCGTCGTCTGTCGATTATTAATCGTTTGAATTTTGTTTAATTATATAGAATTAAAGACGATTGGTTAGGTTTCTCGGTCTAATAAAGCAATGTTGTATAACAATTGTTAACTAATTATAATTGTTGAGTAAGGATTTATATCTGAAAGATAGACGCGCGAATATCAATCCGATGAAACTGAGTTTGTCTTTGATCTATAGTATGTGTATGTGTGTCTGTGTGTCTGTGTGTATGAGTGTTGATATGTCAGCAGTTGGATTTCGACGAAAAAATGATGGTGAAAAAGAAAAATACAACAAGAGATTGATAATGAAATTGGTCAGTCGAGTACACGACGTGATAAGATCTATTGAATGAAATCTCTAAGTCCATCAGACACGACGGAGTTTCAACTGGAATATTTGTCAGCGCGGGGTACGATCTATTTCCACTCTCGTCATTGTGTTACACAACTTAAGAGTTCGACCTTCACAGGGGTTGCGGTTGGGTGTAGCGAGTGTTTCGCAAAAAATTAAGAATTGTATTCACCGTTACCACCTTACCGGACGAAAAACTTGCGTACACTGTAACAGCTCAGATAAAAATGATATTACAAGCACCCGTTAGTACTGGTACACGAGCCGTTTTGGAGACAAATTATTTTTATTTTTGCTTCCTCGCTCTTACCCTACAGTAAAAAATAAATTTAAACGTTCTTACGCGTGTAGTATGTACAAATATTTACAAAGACGTTTCCTGCCACTAGAACCAACCCGTCTACCCCTTGGACTGTCGCTACGAGCGTTCGTTATTGTTATCATAACCATAATTATTATTATACGGCTGTCGGCAGTTGATGGGTTGGCAAAAAGTGGGTGTCATACATGACGTTGACAGGGATTGCGTATCAAAACAGATAGCACTTGGGCAAGGCGGGTAGGTATAGGGCACCGTTGAAGAACTGTTTGCGGGTGTCGTGCCAGGATAGCACGGACGCCGCGCCGAACGGATCCGTCTCGCATGCCGAGCACACGGACGACACTTTCCTCACCTCCCACTCGGCCGGATCGACTTTCTGGGGGTCGGATGAGTGGCCGGACCTGGCATTACTTGGCGACGCCATCACCAACGGGGTCCACCTCTTAGACCGGTCGTGGTTATTATTATCATCATCATCATCATCGACGGTCGTGGCGTTCCTCCTGTACCGCAAACGGTCCTGTCTGTCCAGAAGGTTCACACGGAACGTGTCGTCCGCCACTGCGGCCATGGACACGTCGTCCCGGAACGGCACGTAAAAATCGTATAGGCCGCCGTCGAACAGTGATTGCTCGTCCCGCAGCACTTGGTCGTTGGGAGCGGTGGCGGCGGTCACAGGCTTCACTGGAAGCTTGGGCACCCGTTGTCCGTTGACGAACCCGCCGCCGTGGGCCAAATGCGGTGGCGGCGTAGGGTCGGGGGCGGCCGCAGTCACGGGCGGCTCTTCCGTCTCGCCCTCGTCCACCGACTCGTCGTAACCGTGGTGAAAGTTGTGCACGTGGTGATGCTTGTGGTTGTTGTATGCCTTGCCGGCCGTCAGCGCCGCCTTGTACAGCGACACAAGCGTCAGCTCGCCCGAGTACGACGCATGGTGCACGGCCAACGCCTGTTCCAGATATTCACGACCGCTGATGGCCACGCCTCCGCCCTTAATCATCTTGCCGACCATCTGAAAAAACGTCAAGTCGTATTACTATCGAAAACCGGTTTTTCGTATTTCCTTTCTATCCTCAAGTCATCCTCGCCATGGTACACTATCCAATCAGATTTATCCGGTTCCAGTGGCGTAACCGGAGTTTTTAAACGGGAGGTGCTGAATACTTTTTCGGGCAGGTTAGGTAAGAAAAGATTTGAGAATTCTCCCTTTACTCCCCTCCCCACTAAATTTATAAATGCATTTATAGTGTTTTAAATTAGTTTTAATAATATTTATTTAAATACAATTTATAATAATAATAAATAACTTGTGATCAGTTGCGGTAGAATCGCTACGACCTAACATGGTATAAAAACTATAGATATTATAAAACTAAAGTGTTAGACGAGAGTCGCCACAACCTTCATGATAACCTCCACGAACATAGTGATAATCTCGGTTGGAGTAATACGCTTTTGTACCAAAAAAACACCCTCATTCTTCGTAAAAATTTAGTTAGCGCCAAAGTTTTAAAATACTTAAATACCAAATAGTAGTACACGAGTATATAGTATAGAATATACACCTAAACATGACACATGAAGTATGTCTCTACTACAGACCCACTATATGGTTCAAGGGAGTTCATCTTTACTCCATTCTAAAAAAAGAAAAAAACAAATAAATCATCACGATTCGTCTTTTTAAGAGTTATAAGCATACCAACTACAGTTTAAAGAGTAATTCGTCCGTGTGCAATGTATTTACTAAGATTTCTGATAGTCGAGACATGATGACTTGATTATGAATGGAACTGAATTCTAGTTATGAAAGAGATTATTATTGTAAAATCACATGTAACTGTCAATTATTTCGTTGGAAAAATACAATTTTATTCGAGCCAACGGAAATATAAAATTGTCAAGATTCATGAATCTTCTTAACTGCATGATAATACTAATAATAATAATCATATGTACCTACGACAGTTACAAGTTTTCAGTTGCAAAACGAAGACTTCGAGGATTAAACAAAATAATTACGAATAAAGTTTAATATTATTTTCCCGAAACCCATTCGTTATGGTTTGTTCTTGGAATTCATGCACGTCGCGGAGTAGATGAGATTCTTCGGTTCTTGTAAAAACATGTCTTATTTATATTATTTCTGGAATATATCAAGTTAAATTTTTCATTTTACGAAACACAGTATTGTACCATATTATTCATGTGCCTCCGTTTTTCAGTCTCGTTATATTGTCTTACATATATTTCAATATTAAACTTTCGTGCATACACACACTCACATACACAAGCACACACACACACACCTACACACGCATTTTCATGTGTACTCACGTACATTTTCAAGAAATCATCTTAAACCATTCAGTGTTTGTGAAGATAGAAGCCTTTAGGCGGTAGTGAATTTTCGCCCACGAAAACCGTCAGCGGTGATGCGCGTACGGATGTTTTGAAGACATTTTCTACGTATCAGCTGGTTAACAACAACCGGCTCTTCTGTTACAAACTTTTGATCAACGCGTGATGTGTAACACGCTGTCGAATTCGGTCAGACCGTAAACGCGCGCTTGTTCTTTATACAAGCACGTGCGGTATATACTCATATCCGTAAACGACTCTCGAATCCCTTATCTGTTATATCTCTCGACATTTTTCAATCTCCCCCCCCCCCCCCCCCCACCCCCCCCCGCGCTTCATTCCCCCCCCCCCCCCCCCCCATAAACAATTTACGTGTGTTCAAGCAAACGGAGTCTTACGCAACGCGGTGTAATACGGATATTTGAAGTATATCTATATTGTTATTATTATTATTATTATTATAAAACGTGTGCTCGTTTGAGTATAAAACGAATAAATAAAATTTTCAAACGAAACACTTACGCTACCGACAATTCCCAAAATTACTTATGTAGTCTGCTTAAATATAATGTTGTACATTCACCACGTATATTTGAGGAAACCATAATGAAAAACTGTGTAAATTCATATACCTACGCTAATTTATTAGAATAAAAATAAAAAAAGCGAATACATGATATTTCGGATAGTTCGTAATATATTTCTACTCTAAAATGATTGGAATTTATCTCTTAAACCCAAAAACCTAGTAACCTAGTGTTATGGTAACACATATATGTACTCGAATATTTGAGATCTCTGTATTAAAAAGCAGTAGACTAAAATTGATTTTATTTTTTCTTCCGAAGCGTTAATATATTATTTATGAGTTCTCAGTTTATGCAAATCATTTATTTGCAACCGTTCCGTGTTTTATATGTATTATTCCGAATTCTAATACAGCCTATATATTATAGTATTCCATTAAAGTAAAATTAACATTTTTTTTTCTTCTGTTGTATTAAAATCAGTTACACGCTATAGAAACGTCATCGCAGCTATAGAAAATGTTTTATTTTATTTTATAATATATATTTAAAAGATTCCTTTGTAAATTTATTTTTATTTGTTTTAGTTCTAGTATGCACCGTAAATTTGAATAAAATAAACCAAAGGGATTTTTCTCTTGTCATTAAATACGACTGGATTAAGTCGTTGCTTTCAACGTTTCTGGCTCATTATTGTTATTGTATTTTTTATCCCGCGGAAGAATAAGTGATTGTAATAATTATTTTTTTTTTATTATCAGTTTTTTAGTAACAGTAGATGATATTTTCCTTTTATATAAATATAAATATATATATGTACATATTTTACGTAGACATAATAAAATACCTATAAAAATCAACATCATGACCTTTGCAATGAATAATTAGTCAAAAAAGTTTTCCATTTGATCCCACAAATAATTTATTCTATCAATATAGACATATTTTACTACCGATTAATTATTATAGCATGTAATAAATAAATAATTATCATTTCGTCATTTGCGATTTTCAACATCGGTGTCACTTGAGAAATGTATTGCATTTCACACCATACTGATATATATGATATATATATATATAACAAACATATTATGAGACTAACGATGAAAAGAAATCATATGATACAGGCTTCATCTACATTGCTCTTATAGAACTGAATAATAACAGCAATAAAAATCAATTAAAGATTTACAAACAAGAAAAAAAGAGAAAAATATTTTTCAATTTTTAAAGTATAAAATTCTGAAAACATTCTATCAAAGGTATTTAATTTATAATTAATTAATACATACTATATATTAATAGTAGTCTAATATAAACATATTTACTAAACAAAAAAACCTTCATTCCTAGTAGAATATTATTATTATTATCATTGTATTTGTTTTCCATAACTATTTACCATCATTTGTAAGAAGAAAGATTTCGATAACAGTTTAGTGTGAAAAAAAAATCCGTTATAAAATTATCCACGGAACCGCATATGTTATCTCCCTGTCAACATTTTTTAGTCCGTTCTAACTCGTGAATAATTGATCGTTGTAGTCCTCATGTATTGTGAAGACAATCCCATGGAATTTCGACCAAAAAATTAATATTAATATACAATATACGGTTTTCAACTCACCAAATTGTAAAATCCTCTGCCCACTCTCTCGGAATTGATCCACAATTGCCACTCGCCCGTGTGTCCGTTCCACGACTGGCATACGTGATACCATTTAAACAATTTCTCCGGGTAATTAATCCTGTATATGGTGTGTCCGTTAATGGCCAGCGAATAGTACGTTTTATCAGGTGAATTCTCGATCCATGAGTATATGACGCGACTCTTGCCAGGCTCTGTGTACGCGTGAAAAACAGAAAAAAAAATAACATGTAGCTTGTGTTATTATAAAATGCTACAAGTTTTCGGAACGTGTACATTATGCCATACTACGTTGCCGTTTAACAATACATATATTCGTGAAAAATTAATTAAAGTCGAGTCGCTTGTTAAAATGGCTCTCCAATTGTGTTTTAATTGCCTACATTAAAATGCGGAGCTAGTTTTCGGTTTTTACATATATAATTTGTATAATGTGTGCTAGAAATTTTTTCTAATTATTAAAATGAATAATTGAATATAAAAATGAAATACTTCTTTGGTGAATTGCATATTTGTACAATTTACTTGTTTTATATGTGAACCGACATTCTACTTGTAATTCGTGTAATGAGAACCGCATACATATAATAAATAAAGAACAATTATAATTAATTTTTCGTGAATAAAAATACAGACTCTCGTTAGGATAATTGTTTTTAGAACAAAGTTATGATATTTTTCATAACAATAAATACAAAATTTAGTTTCTCAACGTTTATTAACTGTTTCTTTATTAATTTTAAGCGAGCAAAATTGAAAATTCTTAGCTACCTTTTAAACTTCCACTAAAAATAAACTTCTTCCATCATCCTTTTGACCGTTTCATACAAAATTACTTTTCTTCCGTCATTTTTTTTTTTTTTTTTTTTTATACAGAATTAATTATATGGCAGCAGTCTTCATAAACATCGTTGTTATTGTTATTATTTTACTTGGATCGTACAGATTTACGGCGTATCTCACTACTAATGTTTCAATAAATGTTTTACCGAAATAAAAAATAAATAAAAATGTATCCTCGTTATCTCCTAATGTTCATTCACCTTTTCAATCTTAGACTTTCCACAAATGTGGTATCTATAAGTTAAAACGGTTGAAGTTTTGTAGCGATAAATTATAATAATTATCTTTAACAATCATTTTAAAAAGACTCATGGGAATGTTAAAAAATTCGATGAGAGTAAACGCCAAATTACTGCACTTATTCGTATTCAAATTCCAACAGTTTTAAGAACAGCGTATATTTTTTTCGGAGTTCGTTAATATGTATTTAGTTTTTTATTTTGGAAGTCGGATACAAATGTAAAAACTACAGACTTTTTTATATTTAATCATATTTTATTGAATATCAAGGATACGCTAGTAACCATATTTAGGTGTACAATTGAAAGTATTGATAAACTTATCGAGAATTCAAATAAGTTTATTGATGTTCAAGCGAACGAGCGATGCTTTTTGACATTTATTTCGGATCAAAATAGAGTTAGACGAATAGTGAAAAAAACACGTAAGGTTACCGCCTGTAAATATATTATGTATTCTCTTATGAGAGCAAACATTGTAATTCGATAAATTAGAATTTTTTTTTTTTTTAATGTTATTATAAAATTATATTAATCACGTATTCCCTACTCTCAGGATGCTGAACACTAGATGTCTTCCCTTGACTCTAATCCTGCGGCCGATCACCTGTACGGTATCGCGCCGTATAATCTCAGCTCTACTCACATTCTCCCGGTCCACGTGTACAAAATGTGTACAAAATCGTTACTTATGATTTGGTCGGCGTGATGCGTGTATACTTACGGGAGTACGAGAATATGGGCTGATCGTGCGTGTAGTTGAATATGTTGTGCCAGTGACACAACGTGAACTCCTTGAGGTCGGGGATCTTGGCCTTGTAAGCGACGTACTGGGGGGAAAAAAAATGAAGATATAAATTACGTACGAAAAATCGCGAACCGCGGGGAACAACGCGTCCGTACCTGCGGTGATTCCGATCCCGGCGTGAACACCACTTTGCGCAGCTCGCAATGGTCCTGTTTGTACGGCTTCTGGTGGACCGGCTGGTACGGCTTCTCGTGAGCGACCGACAACGGCGGGTACGGTATCTCGTGCTGCGCGAGCGCGTACGACGGCTGCGGCTTGTAGACGGCCGAGTGCACGTACTTGGGCTGACGGCCGTCCCACGCGTACGGTTTCAGCCACTTCCAGTAGTGCTCGGCGTCGCACACCATGTGACAGGACACGATCGCTAACGTTATCAGCGGCACGCGGCTCGAGATCATTCTGCGCGAACAAAGGGACGGCACAAATTATTACGTTATAAATATGTTTATGCTTTACGAACAACTTTCAAGACGAATGGCCGACGGAATATTATTGGTCGGACAGTGTTGGAGCGGATTCGCTGGAGATCACTAGGTACGACGCGGATGGAAAAATACAATTTAATATGCAGTGGTATTTTTTGTCAACACAATCCGTTGTTTAGTGTAAATCTGAATTTCGTTGACTAGAAATTGAAAAAAAATTTAACACGAAATTCAAAACCTCGAGATCTATAACTCGTGTTGAAACTAAAATCTTTATGAAAATAATGAAATAAAAACCAATAAATCAACCCTATAAGGGAAAACGATGCAACGTTTTCAGACGGCGCGCGGTATAGGCAATTCGTTACCTCCGACGTGAAGGAGGTTTTGAACGACGGTCGATTTGATTAACATACGATTGTAGTCCATATTTCACCACAATATAATAATATAATATAAATTAAGTATTATGTTCACGTCGATACCGCCTTTGTATCAGAAGCAAAAAGAAATGTCGAATGGTGTGCGCTTTTTGTTGCGTATGATTATGTGATATGTTGGTTCACAGCTACGAATTCCATTCCAGTGGAAACTATATAACGCATCAGCAGCACACGAATGTCGCCCGAGGGGGTACAACTTTTGAAAACAAAGTCAGAATTTTCTTGCGATCCGTTGTCTACAAAAACAACCAACTAACTCTGCACACTTTTCTTATTTATTATTATTTTTATAAAACTTAATATTCTTATCTCATATGGGGGCCATGCTTAGTTTTATCCCCTTCCCTTCATCGTTTCTCATCCATTTTAGATGACAGATTTTTGTTATTCCCTTTGTGGGGTTTTTTTTTTATTTCTTACAAACCATAAATTCTTGTGACACATAATATTAATAATAAATCAATGCATGCCGTTCGTGTTGTTTGATTTTCTATAAATATATTTATTCATTGAAATTCAATGAGATTCAAATGATAATGAAGAACGTAAATCGCCCAAACTGTGATCGTCTTCGTACATTTTATAATCACGCGTGCGCTGGCAACACAAACATTTTCGGTATTAAACACAGGGTGGATCTTCGTTTACAATAAAAATTCAAATTATTAAAGTACACTACCGTGCAAAAATTCTTCAGAAGTACAAAATGCTATATCGTATTTACATTAAACCTAATAATGAAGTTGATAATCATTCAACGTATATTATGATAAAACTTGATAGGTTGATTTGCTTTTTTTTATTTTTATCTCGATTAATTTTTTCATAAATTGCCGAGATAAACTGTTGAAACCCATTATTAAAACCATACATTTTCCGTTTTAAAATTTTAATTATTTGATGATTTAATTTTATGTACATATAGTTTCGAATATATATATATATATATATTTTTTTTATATTATATACATATGTATTAAGTAAAAATGAAAAAGTAAACATTTATACCGTATCAATGTGTATATCAACTAAATTTTAATAAGAATGTCTATATTTTTTTTTTATAAAAAGGCAATTTGAATCGTCCCTAGGGTAAAAACAAAAAAAATAATAATCAGAAAGATGTCGATAAACATTATTTTAAAACAAGTGACAACATTTTCAAGATGAAATAAAACCTTTCGTGAAATTAAATAAAATATTATGAAAAATAATGTGAAAAATAATAAACAATGTTGTTCCTGTAACAATAGTAACATAATTGTTATTCATTCGTATTATTTAATGAATGCTAATCTTTATAAACTCGATTTTGTATTTGCATTCACCACTTAAAACTAACCTAACCCGGATGAAGTTGTTACGAAACCGAGCCTGCTATAATAATAATTTAAAAATTCAAACACATCTCTCATAATTTTTTAAATAGAAACGCTATTCACTTTGTTTTGAAAAATATATTGTTATCTGAGAAATATAGTGCTGATAACTGCGAATGATTTGTAAATAATAATAATTTTTAATTTTAATAGTATTGCTAATGAAATCTTTTGACATTAATAATTAGATAAATGATTGTGTAAGATGTTTCCCACCAACACATTTGATACTCATGTGTAGACAGTTTTCTGCGATTTTTAAATAGTCTTCTATCCCTTGACTAATACATTTTTTGTCACGCCTGCACCAAAAGTTTGGTTTTCAATCGCAGTCGAAGCTTTGGAAAGCGATATTTTTCCGTCCAGTGAGCGGTAATGTGATGATTCCAAAAAGTGCCGGGCGCGTATTCCCAGCACAACCAGAAACCGTAATGTATATCACGGTTCTTACAAAACATAAGCTTCTGGTTAAATCTTTTATTCATATTATAACCTCCTCGTATGACGTTTGAACATTTAAACATATTTTCACTGTTTCTACGCGAATGCGTTGAACGTTACAGGTAAATATTAATAAAATGAAAATTGTAATAATTATGAAATAAAATAACATTTTTTTCATGAAATTGTTTTCTGCTGTTGCATAGATCTCTAAAATACCTTTTCCACGAACGCAGGGGCGTGACAAAATATAGTATGTGTGGCTCACGCGGGAAAGTAAATTCATTCATGGGCAAAACGCGGTTCTCACCTGCAGCTGGTGCCGCACACATCGCCCACGACCGAAATAACTTACTTCTAGCCCTTGCCACAGAATACACTATATAAAACCCGATAGAATCTGACTGAAGTTGGATATTATATGTCTTATCAAAAAAATAACTTTGAGGAGTAGTCGATATTTTTAAGTTATATATGTTCATATTAGAAATAATTATCTTGAGATTAATAAATATCGTGCCTTTGAAATGATTTTACAAAAAAATTTAATACCTCCCTGATAATATTGTTATTAATCTAATGATTATTTAATTGTATTACATATATTGTTTACGTGTACTTAAAATGTTTTTAACTATATGAGAACATAAATTAATCGTTCTTTTTTTTTCTCATTTATATCGTATCCTTATTAATAAAGACACTTTAATTATTCAAAAACAAAAAAAAATAAATAAAAGTGTCTACTTTTAATTGATATACCAGATTATTTTATTTTATAATCGCCCAATGATAAACGGATTTAAATTCAGACGATAAACGAAGTCGAACAAAATCTATTTTGTTCTACTTCAATGCCATTCATTGATAAACTTTAATGTATTTGATTGCCTAATATAATTAATTATACATGTATGTAGACCACGACACATTAGCCCTTGAAGCTAATTGATAACCATCAATTGTTTCAGATTGTATAATCACTTTGAAATTAATCTATTTAAATCATTTCAAGATAATTTAATATTTTTATATGTTTGAAGTATATTAATAGGCACTTGCATTGATCAATAGCAGAATATTAATTCATTAAAATGTAAAAAAAATGGAATTGAGTGGATTTTATTTGTGACTTTTCTGTGCAATATTTAAATGCTGATTGTAACGCCACAAACTTTCTGTTGGCACTAATTTTTATAATTATAATATTATGTTATTCAACATTAAATAATTTATGTTATTGAAATGAAAGTTTTAACTATATGTTACCTTGCAGAACCTTTCAGTAATCCTTTGATGCGTCGCGTCACACTTAGATAATAACTTATCATGCGTTTATTATTAACGCGCAAAGCGTACCTATTGTATATCATTTTATAATCGTTATTATAATTTTGCACGCAGAGGCATTGTTTTTATTGTTTACCAAAAAATATCTCTTATTTTCAAGAGCTTGTAAAAAAAAATTTAAAAAATCCTACTTAAAAACCTACTGAAAATGTTTTTATTTTTTAATTTAAAATCAACATAAAGTTATTTAAATATATTTATTTTTTTTTAATTTATTCATTACTCACGCCAGATTATTATAATAATTTTTATTGTTCTAATCAATGCATAAAATATGTTAAGAAGTCAAAAATTTTTCTTTTGAGTTCATTAAGAAATGGAAGGTATTGTATAGTCAAGATAAATTGTTATAACAGTACATAACGCTATATTTTCAGATATTATCAATGCTTAATTTCAGATAAATATGCGTGTAGTTTAGACGTTTTGTTTGACAATTAAACCATAAAACACACACACAAACGGGTAAACAAACATTTTTACGAGGCTTTCATTTGATTATATTATTATTAGATATCGTATTCGTTTAGTTACAATATAGTTATGTAAGTAGCGTGTGCGAATAATTCAACCGTGACGATCATCATTGAAATCATGAGTGTTATAGTAAATCAGTACGAAAACCGCCGAATTATATTCGTATGTGTCGGTTTGCATAACCATATTAGAAGCAATTAGTCTTAGATAATAAAAATAAACCATGTATGAAATTATTTTATTACCACGCGGCGTAGGCGATACGACTACAACGGTGTGAAAAACATTTTACATTACATATCATTCTGTTTTTTAATTTATTTTTTTTTTTTAATCAACTATTTTCACATACAACGTCTTCCGCAGCTCACTTAATATACGTATACTATACTATACTATACCGCGTTGCTACGTGTACAAGTGAAGTGATGTAACTTTTATTCGAATAGGGAAAAATTGTAAATTAATTTTTATTCGACCTATGTTGATAACTTAACCAAAAACAATGTTTGCCAATAAGTTTTACATAAAATCCATTATAACAACTATAAATGTTTTTATTTAATGAACTAGACTACACGTAACAATTTTATTTTTCTTTATACCTAACATTCCATAAGTAATTACTCCAATTTCGAATGATCGATAGGTAATTATGCATTTGAGTATTCAAACACCCCATAAATAATCACTTCTCGGACATTCGATAAATAATTGAGTATTTTAACTTTCAGGTAATGCTCACCATACGTATAGTATATAGTATACGAATCTAAATTGATTACCGTAAATACCCGTAAACCTGTATCATAAACAGTTGTTGGGTAGCGTATACATTATTTTTGTTTTATTTTAATTTTTGTCATTTCTATCGTTAGAAAACA